CAGGAATGCGTGCCATGGCAAGCCTTGCAATGGGAAAAAGCCTCTGATCTCGGGTCAAGCTTGGAGGTTTTTCAAACTTGCTGACGTTTATGACGATGCTCCAAGTTTTCTCGGCAGTCCCCCCCCGAGACGTACTCCACTTCAAATTACCAAATTACATGCCTGAACGCGAGTGTCCTTGGCCATTAGCATGTCATCATCACAGAAAGGATATTAGCCACTTGAGCTGAGCATAGTTATACCTCTCCCATAACCAGGTACCTGAGCACTTGACGCCTATGAGCATAATACCCCACCAACTTCCCCGTTTCTCTCTCACCAGAAGCTCCTTACAGTTTTCTGCTCAAGGGTTTTTCCTGGGAAATGCTGGTAGGACTTTGCTTGAAAGACCAGCGTTTCAAAGGAGGGACTGAGAGCCAACCCTGTCTCGTGCCTATAAGCCAGGCATTACTATGCACAGTCAAACATGGCCAGATCCTGCTCCCACGACACTGGATTCCAGCGATCTAGGTGCTCCCCTGAGGCAGGTCAGTGGGCAAATTCTCCAGGACATCCAAACAGCACCAAATGCGAATCAGGAAAGGGGCTGGGTGTGCAACAAGGGCCTAATTGCTTTCCCTTTGCATTTTCCAAGTAGCGGTGCTTTTCCTTGCAGATACCTCCCACCTTCTGCATTACCACAGACTTAGGCCTACTGCAGCTCATGCTACAGCTCAACGGTGCAGGGGGGCTGCAAGTCCAGCCAGGCGTTGGCATAACACACATCTCTTTTCCATTTCAACTTTCCCCGGTCGCACCAGCAGTAAGAGGATGAACGCCCCAAGAACCCGCGTGTCCGCGGGGCTGGAGGATTGCCCGTCGCACCAGGATGGAACGAAGCCACGTGAAAGCCAGACTAAGACAATGGTGCAGCGTGAAACCAGTGAATCTCTCCAGAGGGATCACACTCGGGGCCAGCAGCAATTGCTGTAACAAACACAGGACCCCGAGCGCGAGGATCTGGATGCTCAAGAGCAAGCAGTGAAAGAAGCTACCCCTGGCCCAGTCAAACCCCTCGGGCAAAGGCACTGGCTCCTTCCCAATCATTCCCCAGCTCTCAGACTCATTTCAGCCCTTCCAGCTGTGCTTTCCTGTGGTCCTATGGTTTATGCCTTAGTCTCCCACATCTGGAAAGTGTTGTCAGGGGATTGCACATGCACCACGTGGAAAGGATGATCTGGGGACTTCATAGGATGGCAGCACTTACTACAAGGCATTTCCTTTTGTAATCTTCAACACTTGCATACTTAAAATGAGACAAGAGCAGCTGACTAAGACAGAGACAAGCCCCTCCATTTATTTATACTTAAAAAGCCTCTATAATTGGCTGGCACGTGGAAAGAATAAAAGTAATTCTGCACATCATGTTTAAGTCGGTCATTTTTTGATCTTTAATAAAAATGTCTCTGCGTTTGGCAAAGGTCTCGGGATCATAAGCTCATAGGAAGGAGCTCGTGAGGTCACATCTAACCCAGCTCAAGACAGCATCGTTCCTGACTAAACCATGCCAGCCAAGCGTCTGTCTAACCCGTGCTTGAAAATGTCCAGGGATGGAGATCCCCCAAGTTCCCTAGGTAGCCTGTTGCAGTGTTTGACCACCTTCAAGTCAGAAAGATCCTCCTCATCTCCAGCTTCAATTTCCCCTGCTAGCTTGAGGCCATTGCTCCTAGCTATCCCCTACAACCACAGAGGACAGTCCATCTCCACTCCCCTTTATAACCACCCTTCAGGTATTTGAAGACTGCAATCAAATCCCTGCCTCAAATCTTCTCTTCCCCTACTGAAGTTACTTGCAAAGGTTAGATGAAAACAGAGGGTTATTTCCTAGCGAGAGGCCTGGGCTCAACCAGGTTAAACTTTAAAGCTAAGAGTTTCTGAAGCAAATAACCTTTTTCCTAATCCTGGATCTTGCACAGGTAGCTCTCCGGGGGTAGCTTGGCTAGGCAGCCAGAAGAGAGCAGTAACAGAGACTCTCAAGTCAACATATTGAGCAAGTCTGTCTGGCCAAGAGCAAGGAGAGAAGTGGTCTGCCACTCACCAGAGAGGGAAAGCTAACAAAAGATGATCCAGAGAAGGCCGGTGTTGAAGGCTTTCTTTGCTTCAGTCTCCAGTAAAAAGACTTACCGAGACCAGATGGCTGACACAATTAGCATCAATAACAAGAAGGCTTGGCAAGAACTCAGATTAGAGCAGGGAAGAACTAATTAGAGACTCCTTAAATAAATCAGATGCTTCTGTCTGGGCTGGTGGCATTCACCACAGAGCAGCTTGGGAACCGACTTAAGCCATCTCAGAGGCATTAGCAATTATCTCAGAGCTCGGGGAGGGCAGGTGAGGCTCGAGAAGACTGAAAATGGGCAAAGCTTGCGCCTACCATTAAAATGAGGACAAAGAATGACCCGGGTGCTAACTGACCAGTCAGCACTAACTTCAACTTGCAAATCACTGAGTAGGTAGTAAAGTGGCACATGACTAAAACAAATTATGTAACACCAGTCTAATCTCCTCCTATGGTAGAATAAGAGACCCTGTAAATAGGGGAGACGCAGTAGATGCAACATATCTGACTTCGGTAAGGCTTTGGACGTGCTCTTACCCAATGTTCTCACAACCGAGCCATGGAAATGTTGTCTCAATGGAGCAATCGCAAGGTGGGATCACAACTAGCCAGCACGCTGACCGGAAAGAGTCCTCCTCAATGCCTCGTGCTCAGTCTGGAAAGATGCATCGAGTGGGCTTCATCAGAAGTCTCCCTCGGTCTGACACCATCCAGTGTCTTCGCTAACTGGGATGATGAAACACTCATTCAATTTGCAGACCGCACCAGGCTGGGAGAGGGTTGCAAGCACTTGGGAGGATAGAGTTAGCATCGAAAAGGTGCAAATGCATGAATGAAACACCAGGCATTTGAACGAAATGAGGTTCAACGAAATGCAAATGAATGAAACGCATGAGAAAACCAACAAAAACCATCAGCACTCTAGAAAACACGACCCATGAGGGATGGCTGAAAGAACGAGGCTTGTCGAGTTTCAAGGCAAGAGTCAGAGAAGCCATGGTAAAGTCTTCAGACAAGTGCAAGGTTGCTGTAGAGAGGAAGGCAAGCTTGGGGATAGGATGGGAAGTACGGAGCTTAAACTACAGCAAGGGAGATGTAGCCGAGACATTAGGAAACCCTTTCTAGCAGCGAGGATCGTGAAGCGACAGAACAAATGGCCTAGGGAGGCCGAGGGATCCCCATCATTAAAGGCCAAGAGCAGAGGACAGCCTGGGTGGCCTCCTCCAGCCCTCCTGAGCACCCGGCGGGCTCTTACTGCCACGAGATGGCAGCAACACCCTACCGTATCCTCGTTTAACAACCACATCCCTGAGAGCCGTTTCGACCTGAACCATATTTTTACAGAAGGACCTACCTACAACCCACCCATCACCAGCATGTGTGAAGGCAGCCATGCCCTCAGCCCCGCTGAAATCTCAGAGGCCCCTTGGAAAGCTGCTTGTACGGGCTGATCTAGTATAGCAGCGGGGCACGACGGTTTTGTAGAAAGAGCTCCTCAGCCAAGGGAAGGTATTTTCTAGCGGCCGCAGGCCTGGACCTGGAATCAGGCTCTCTAGGTAATTTCCCTGCTCTGCTTCTGGCAAACAGCGCAACCCTTGGGCAAGACACTTAACCGGAGGGTGCCTCAGTTTTCCCCATCTGTAAAATGGGGATAAGTTTCTGATGGAGGAGTTCATACGGCACTCAGAGAAGATGCTATAAGCTCTCATTAGGATTAACTGCTTTGAAGATATGACTCAGTGCAGACCGTCTCTGTGATCCTACCTAGACAATTTAAAGCAAAAGATTTCACACATGTACATACCTGGGACAACGCTTGCTATCTGCATTTAATACTGCCAACCCTGGCTTCATTGCAAATCCAGCTGCGTTCTGGCATCGAGGGCTCCTCCAAAAAACATTCTGGAGTGCTTTTCTGTTGCTCTTCAACAAGGTGCGTTTAACGCTTACGATTACTGTAACTGGCTACTTTCAAGGCTCGACAGTCCACTCACTCATCAAGACAACCATGCCACACACTACACTCCAAGCACATAAACAAAATGAACGTTACCTTTATTTGCACCATCCAGTGTTATCTCAAATATTGTCCCTGTTGAGTGCTTGTAAAAAAAAAAAAAAAAAAGGAGAGATGGCCGGGATTATCTGCAACTATCGCAAGCCAGGAATAAGGCATGCATAGTGTATGGACTTCAATTAGCTGTGTGTTCTTAGCCAAGGACTAGTTTATTACTTATCCTCTACTTTTCCTCTCTGCTGAGGTATGAATCCATATTGCAAAGGACCAGATCAGCTGCTGGCTGCAAAGTTCAGTCTTTTTTGTAGGAAGATAAATAATGCTGGAGCGGGGCCTTCACACTCTGCCTTCGGGCATTGGGAGTAGATTGTTTCCTCGCCGACCTTGGTCTGTTGCAAAAGCTTGCCTGAAGTTGCTGCATCTCAACCAGCAGCTCAGGGACTGGCGGCGGAGTGACATTTTGCAGGTCGGCATATTGCATACAGTGGTAGACTCTTGCCTGGATCGAACAAAATAAGGCTCATTGGGAAACACTAGGAAAAGGGATCTTTTGTATGTCTTGCTGTTGGCTTATAGCACTCACGGAAGAAAGAAAAGCAGCAGCTAAGAGGGATCGTTCCACCCCTTATCTTTGACCGTGCACCCTGAGACTCCCATCAGCTTTAAGGTGCAGGAGCTGCCCACCTTGCCTTCAACCTCTGCTCCTGGCTGGGCCCAGCCTGCAGCTCCTTTCACACCCCTGGTGCATGCCTCTTCGCCGTCCCATCCCCTCACCATATGGTGGCAAAGCCTTCTCCTCTACCGCTCCCGCATCTGAAACCGTCTTGCCATTGGTAAAGACTGAGCATCTTACTCTGAGCACCGAGCAGTGCAAGGGCCCCAGCAGGAAGAAAGTGGCTTACCTGATCTCTGCTGATGTATGTCTTTACGCTGGGGAGGAATTCAGGCAAATGCCGCCGTGCTTTCTGTTTGTAGGAACATCCCAGGATCTCGCTCTTCTGTCGTCATTACATTCAAAAAGAGGTTTTTACTAGTAACATGGTTCCCCCAGGCAGGACGCTCCCCCCAGCCCCCTCCACACTGCTCCTCACCAGTTTCTCCGTCTTCTCCCACTTTTGCCAAGTGGCCTCGACTTGGTCAATGATTCGCTTCTCTTTCAGGGATGTTTCTCCACCCGTCTTCTGCAAGCCTAAGCTGAGGCCTGCTTTTTCATGCAAATACTGCATTAGCGCAGACTGCTGCTTCTTCAGGTGGCCTGTCGACTGCATGAGGCTCTGGGTACGTCTGGTGCACAAAGACATAAGAGGAGGACTGCACCTTCGCTGCAAAACTACCGCTCCTCTAGGGAGCAGCCAGCCAGAAGGGAAGCACGCCCTACTCACCGAGCTAGGATTCATTTAAAACAGATGCAGTATTAGGGCTGCACAAATAAATAAGACAGACCATGGACTGCCTGAAAAATAATCCGGACTCACCATTCTTCCCTTCTCGGGTCTTACTCCTACCCCTTACGCAGCATTTCCTCAGCCCCCACCCAAAACCCCAAGTTAATGGTGGGTTTAAAAGCAGAAGAGCTAAACATCTTGCAAGAGGCCAAGCTCTGCATCACCCACTCCGTGATTTGAAGAGGAGTCCCTTGAATGCATGCGAAGACAGAGCCAAGCCTATGAGAGCTACCATCCGAATGGACACAGGACACATGCGATCAGGGCAGCTCTGAAAAAGCAGGGACTGCATATAATTTAACTGAGATTGCTTATGTGTCATTTGAGCAGAATGGGTAAAACCAGGGAAATTTACATCCAGATTAAACATTGCAGGCCCCATAAAGTACAAAGCACAGCCCCAGTCACGCCACTCAGGATTGGCAGAGAGAGACTGAACAGACACTTCCAGCAGATCAGGGCAGCTGCAGGGCATACACTCTCTAATGACTTAGTTAATGAGCTCTTTTAGCAGTCCTTCTCCTTTAACTTCAGAGCTTCCAGTTCAAATACAGAGAAGTGCCCCAGTGTATTGAAAGCTGAAGTGACCCAGGGAGAGGTTAATCCCTTTGCAGAGATTAGCGCTAGAGAAGTTTTACTTAAATGTGACCATTCAAAGACAGGCTCCTGTTACACTCACTTCCAAAGAGGAGAAGCGCCTTCGTTGAGCACTTTCAGGGTCTGAACAGAACCAACTCTGCGGATGTCCCCGGGCACCTTAGCTGCGTTCAGGTGCTGCAGCCTGACATCCCATACCGACTGCCCGAAGGTCCCTGCCATCGAAGCCAGACGAGAAGAGAAAGCTCAGGAGCGGCGGCTGAATGGATAGGCCATTAGTAACTGCCTGGCTGCCCCTTGCAAATCACAGGCATTGCTGGGGACTCCCCAGCCCTGCAACGAGGCTGGTTTTACATGTGAACCCATTTATAACAAACCTGTGGTCACCTACTTGACATGACACGTGTCACTACATTGCACACACATGTGGTTTCACAGTGGTGAGAGGGGTAGGACCGCAGGCACTTGCACTGACAGCCCGTCTGTGAAGGGGGGAGCACGCTCGGCCTCCCTTGGCATCAACAGGAGGCGAGGATGCTCAGGAAGCGACAGTGCCGAGCCCACCGTACCCACAAAGAGACCTCCGGTGCCAGCCACAGATAATGGGTGGAGCGGCGCATGGGCCAGCCCCTGCGGTGCATCTATCTTTGCAAGCTCTTCAGGGCAGTGATCATCTGACTACGCATATGTAACTTGCCTAGCACAACGGGAGCCCAATCTCAGCTAAGGCCTCCATGTGCTAACATAACCCAACATCCCTGCCCCGCTGCCCACCTTCAGGCGTAGCCCTCTGCACTGGGGGTAGCGCAGACCCTGCGGCCACCATCAGAGGAGTCTTCAGCCACCTGATTTCAGGAGCCCGAATCCAGGACTTAAACTACTTCTAAGGACAAAGTCTTTTTCATGGGTTCAACTGCAGTTCAACATAACGCTGAACCGAGAGTCAGGTGCCCCTCCTCAGTGCAAATACAGATCTGCCAGTGTGGAGGAACGGCAATTAAATTAGGAAGCCTGTTACAGCTGCAACAGTAAAAGGGACATGTTTTACTAGAATTAAACTATTCTGGTCACAGAACCAAGGCCATTCTCTAAACAAAGGCCAGCTGACATTGCCGGCTTGCAGTTCCAAACAAATTATTATACCGATGTGTCTGCCTGACAGCAGCCAGAGCTTGATGTTGCAGTCATCGCTGGCAGTCACAATCAGCCGGAGCCTTTCCACATACACAATGTGGGATATGTTCTTCAAGTGACCTCTCCAAGAGCTCAGAAGGTCTGGAGCGACCAGGGAAGTAATCCAGCCGTCCAGGACCTGCAGAGCAATGAAGTGACCTTTGTTTGCAAAGATGCTCCTCCTGAGACAAGTCAGCAGCTTAATTTAGAATAACTTTATGTGACATGAAACTTCCTATTTCTATGGCACCTAATCACCAGGGCATTTAAATACTGTGAGAACATAAAACTACCAAGAACTGGGGCTTTCATGCCTACAGGTTTGTTGGCTGCAATCGTAACAGCGGGAATCTAGTAGATCTTGACAGTTCCTGGGATGTCCTTGACTCTAGCACATAACTATCTTGATGGCAGTACAGCTGAATTGGCAATAGTCTTGCTTTTGTCTACCAGTTGCACTGGGACTCTCCAAATGGATTCCACTTACTACAACAGTGGGGAGTTTATGAAGCCAAAGTTAAGATCCTATTTGACTCCGTTTCTTTATTTTAGAAAAGATAAACATTTTAGCTTGGTCTCTTCAGCTTGCTGTGACTTTCTCTTTCTGAGCTAGGAAAGGCTGAAGAACTTGTCCTGCTTATAAGTGTGGGCAGTGTCCAGAAAGAGAAATAACCCCGACATTGCATATAAAATTATTCAATATCTCAGCAGATCCATAGATACCTACTTAGAAGTAGCTGAACCGGTCCTGACAGATAGCTTAGCTAAGCCATCCAAGTATTTCAAGATATGTTCACACATTTCCAATAAGCTTCTAAAAATGCACTTGTTTTCCGGCACCATTTCCAAAGCGGTTAACTGATGTAGAAGCACAGGTGCACAAGACTTATGCTCCTAAATCATACAGGTACTTTAGAAAGCCCCAGCAACACCCACATGTGGATAGATATGCAAGGATTTACCACAGCAAAACTGGAAAGGTACATAGATATATCAAATGCAGTGCCATGTACGCATTACCCATGCTAGCTCGACTATTAGAAACAGCGTGCATGTGTTCGCATGGTGCTCTGCCCAAGCTCATACGCCTCACTTCTCACTGAGGCATGCAGGGATACTCTACATGAAAATATTGAAGGGACATTGTAGAGACCCACTGAATGCAATGAAAAGCTTTGGAGAAGAAGGTTAAGCTGTGCATTGCCCGTTTCACCGACTCCACCTAGTGAAAAGGCAGCGACCCTTTCTTTCAGACTGATCTGGCCACCATTATCCAGGTCTCCATAACCTCAAAGCTTGACTATTGCAACGTGCTCTATACGAGGCTGCCCTTGAAAACCATCCGGAGGCTGCAGCTGGTGCAGAACACTGTTGCCCGCCTGCTAACGGGGTTGGGTCATCAGCAGGGATCCTGGTTTTCTCGGATTTAAAAAAATCCCCAGTTTTTGGTTAAAAAAAAAAAAAAAGAAACCCCAAATCAGAGCAAGCCAGGAACCCTGGTCATCAGGAGCACATCACTCCAGTCCTCCAATGTCTGCAATGGCTTCTGGCAGCTTTCTGGGCACAATTCAAGGTGCTGGTTTTGATGTATAAAGCCTGAACAGCCAGGGCATGATATAGCTAAGGGACCACCTTTTCCCCATTACATTCCTAATGTCAGCTGAGGGCAGCCTTCGCCGAGTACTATCATTACACCAGGTCTGCCTGGCAAAGCGTGGAGGAGGGCCGTCTCAGCTCAGAAACTCCTCTCTCTTCAGGCCAGCCAGAGCACGAACCTGGACATCTTTCAGAAATGGTGCAAGTCCTTCCTACTGGGAAGAACCAGAGCTAAGCTGAGACATTGTTTAGTGACTCTCCACTTCGTTATCCTGTTTGATTTGTGCTAGTTGCCCTTTTAAAGTTGTTCTGTTTCTCTGACTGTGAGCCCTAAGGCTTGGGATGGGAAGGTTGGCATATAAATGACATTCATTCATTATGTAAGCTGCTTCCCAGAGCAGCCATGCTACTACCTCTGTAGTTTGCATCAATGGTGGACGGTGTGTGGCAGGAGCTCTGCAGTACCGTGGGATTAAGACTCGAAACTCATTCTTCGCTTTAGGAGATGCTTCCGTCTTTCCCACTTCGGAGACTCTCTTTACCACTTTTGGTTTGCAGTAATGCTCGATGTCCCAGATCTAGAAAGAGAGAGTGACTGTGTTAGTAACTTCCTGATTTCCATTGAAAACAGCTTACCCTGTTGCATGCTGCTATCAGGACAGTGTGGAAGCAACCAGGCATCTGTTCCCATTCACACTCAGAAAAGACATGGCATGTAACTGCCAGGAGATCAAAGATATTCCCCATTCCTCTGCAGCTGTGGTTTGAAATGTACTGGTTTGAAATTCAGACCTCCTGTTTCCCCACACAGCTGATTACTTCCACAGCCTTTTGAATGGAAGAGGCTGGTTGATGCACTTGGAAGCGCACGCAAGTCACATGCCCGGGGATTTCACGTCTCATTTCTGAACCAGGCTCCCTAGCGGGTATGTCTGTGCAGCAGACCGCCCGGCAGGGCAGGGATACCAGTGCTCAGCCAAGTCCACCAGAAGCAACCTGGCAGCAGCAACCTGGAGCTCCGCGTGAGCCAATTCACTCTGCTTCTGGGGAAGGGGGCTTCAGTCGTCTCAGCAGGACACGCCAGCCCATGCAGAGCTCCGTGCTGCCATAGCCAAGCTGCTCCATGTGCCCGAGTTCATTCGTTTAGAGCTGGGTCAGCGATGCCTAAACAACATGCACAGACCTACCCAGGGAGCTTCTCCCAGACATCAAGCAGCACTCACTTTAATGTAGCCGAGGGAATCGCCAGTCAACAGGATCCAGTCGTTCGAGTCTGTGGCCATGGCGTTGACGACAGCGCTCTCATCCCTGAGCGCCGGCCGGAACTTGCCCAGCAGACCCCCCTTCCCACCCACCGACCAAGCATAGACGTAGCCATCCGCGGAGCTAGTAAGCAGAATGGCCGTGTCGGGGTTTCGCTCCCGGGTCTGCAGGAAAAGCACCTACAAAAGAGAAGGCAGGATCGCTGGGTGCCCCCAGCCACTCTGTCCCGGACTGAGCAAGGGGAATGCCTCTGACCTTTTGCACAGCAGCTGAGGAGCCCTTCAGCTCCGTCCAGCAATTCAACTTATTCTTCCTTTGTTTGCCAGCTCCAGCAGCTCTTGGCTCTCTGGAAGGCTTCCTGCCCACCTCAGCACCCTCACCTGCTCCTGCAGACAGGGCCACCTGCAAAGACAAAAGTGACATTATTCCCCTTTATTCTATAAAAGTGATTCTTCCCCTCTATTCAGCACTGGTGAGGCCACATCTGGAGTCCTGTGTCCAGTTGTGGGCCCCCCACTACAGAATGGATGTGAGCAAGTTGGAGAGAGTCCAGTGGAGGGCAATGAAAATGGTTGTGGGGCTGGGGGGCAGGACATGTGAGGAAAGGCTGAAGGAACTGGGCTGATTGAGTCTGCAGAAGAGAAGACTGATGGGGATTGAATAGCAGCCTTCACCTCCCTGCGCGGGGTTGCACAGAGGATGGAGCTGGGCTGGTCTCAGTGGGGGCAGATGGCAGAACAAGGAGCAGTGGGCTCAAGCTGCAGCAAGGGACATTGAAGTTAGATATTAGGAAAAACTCTCTCACTAGGAGGGTGGTGGAGCACTGGAAGGGGTTACCCAGAGAGGTGGTGGCATCTCCATCCTTGGAGGTTGTTTAAGCCTCAGCTAGACAAAGCCCTGGCTGGGATGTAGTTGGGGCTGGTCCTACTTGGTGCAGGGGGCTGCGCTAGATGTGACCTCCTCATTTCCTATGACGTCTCGTGTTTGCAGCCGCCAGCTGCCCCAAGCCTCATGCTGAAGGCTAAACAGGCCCTGCTCTTTGGAGCAGCAGACTGCATGGGGTGGTAGAAAATAGCCATGTTTTTTTTGAGAGGAGAGATATCTGCCAGCATTAACTAAACTATAAGAAGCTCTCTTCCAAGGACAGATCCTGAGGCTTCTTTACCAAGACAGGCAAGAGGCAGAGGCAGCTGAAGAGAGGAAACATCACAGCTTACGTGAAATGCTTTTCCCCTCCACCAGCTCAGAGCAAGGGCCCAAGTGTTCCTGTTTTTGCCAAAATCACAAGTCACAAGAACCATACCTGCTGTCTCTTGGCTTCCTCTCGTTCCTTCCCTCTGGGCTGTCTCATGCCAGGTGGAGCAGAAGCAGGGGCTTTCCAGTAGCCAGACGAGGAAGAAGAAATATTCTTAGCACTTACGGGCCTGGTTGGTAACCTAGGACTCGCATCCACCCAGCACTTTTTCCTAGCCTCAGCTCGAGTGCTGAATTTCAAAAGCAATGACATGTTCTTTGGGGCACTTCCTTTCCTGGGATTGTCATCCTCCATAAACACCTGAACCACGAGAACAAAGTCATATTACAGAGTGAAAACTCCTTAAAGATTTCCCCATCTTCCTTCCTTTCCATCGCTGTATCCTTCCGCCACTATGCTACCTGCTGGGCCGCACTACCAGAGCAGTAAGCAGTGTTGTAAATTCAAGCAGCTTTCCCTCCTGGTGGCTCCTGTGCTGAAATCATTCAGCTTACCTTGAGACATGGCTGCCAATGGCAGAACTTGTGACAACTTCAGTGTAAAAAGGCCTGGACTGTTATCACATAATCAACTACCACCTTCTATATAAATTCAGCAAGGGCTCCAACCCCAAACCTGTCTGCAGAGCATCAGGAGAAGAACACGATGCATTTGCAAAGCATGCCACGAACCTATACTGGGATCCCACGGTTCAGGTGCGAGATCTGGAGGATTCTGGGCATTGGCATGCGAGATCAGAGCAGTGACTCAAGGCCCCCCAGTTTCACTCCAGATTTGCTCCAGTGACCCATGAACAGCTGTGCCTCACACCAGAGCACAGCTGTTCTCACATGCATGAGACAAGAGACAAAACTTCCTCTGCGCTTCCTCCAACTAGAAAACCACCACGTTATCTATTGGAAACACAGACTCTTGTACTTTAAAATACCTGCTTTAGAATAGCTGGAGAACTATTAGCGTTCACATTAGAGTGCCCAGGCACTCTTCACCTGGGCTACATCTATCCAGGAACCACAAAACCACTGCAAAATCCACAAGACTCATGTGTCCTACCCCAGGAAAGGATGAAAACAATAAGAGCAGAGACAAGATAAGCCAGGACTGAAGACTGTCAAGACAGCAGCAAACCCAGGGCCTGGTTCCAGGTATCTTTAGTTCTTAACTTTGATGACCAACAAACAGAAAAAGTTGTTATTTTTCTAATATATTCCCTAAACCAGCGATGCAGCTCTGACTCATTGAGCTGATATCCCCTGGTTCACATCTGCCCTCCCTCACTAATAATTGGAATCTGAATTGGACACATGGCAGCACCGTATTGCAAAGGGACCGGAGTTAGCCAGCCGTCCTTAAACTTACTCTGTTTGGCATCAGGGTCAAAGGACTCTGGGATGCATTAAACCTGCAGAACGCCCGCCCTGAGTCTATGTTCCAGATCACGACATCTCCATCACACGATGCAGTAACCAAGAGCTTGTTGTTATGCATGTCCATGGAAAATATATCTTCCGAGTGGTAGCATTTCCAGTGTTTGTGTTCAAATACTTCACCTGCTTTGCCATCTCTAGTAAGAAAGATTAAACCGTATCATCCCTAAGACTATAATCCTCATTCAGACATTGTCTGTAGAAAGTATACTGTACTCAGATTTAGAGTTACCAAGCCCCCAGTGGGAATGGAGGATATAGACTTTTACACTGGAGGGTATAACCCACTCCCACTTCTTACTTACAGATACCACGCAACTCTTTTACTCCACCCAGATACATATATCTTCTGGTTGATGTACAGAATCCCACTGATCTATGAGACAGACACAGAAACAGTATTACAGCACAGCAGCACTTAGACATTGGCCCACACATGCAAGCCCCAGATTTGTGCACATTTTAACTGCCCACCCTGTGTCAAGGTCACCCAAATGACACGCCAAAAGGCGGGCGTTCACACCGGCAGTGCCTGCCTTCCCAAAAGAAAAGCAGCTTACTGGTAACTCAGTTTGGAAGCGTCTCCTCCCTCTTCCTCAGCCTCGCACAAGGAACACCATTATGTGATCACCCCTGCTTCCTGGCAGGCTGAGTCAGAGCTTAATGAAACAGTGCTTCCCTCGGAGGCTGGGGCACAGCAGAAACAGACGTGACAAGGGCTAATAAAGCACCTCTCCTCCCTCTCACGAGTTGCTGACCTCAGTTTTATCCAAGCAAGGCAGCTCGAGGAGACAGTCCCCGTTATTGAAGTTCCAGAACTTGATCGTTCCATCTTTCAAGCCCGTGATGAGACGTCTCTCTGCACCGTCAAAAGCCATGGCCGTGACTTCTGTCTGCTTCCCCTCCGAGGCCTTAAACTGCATCATCTTCTGCCCGGTCATGATATCCCAGACTCTGACCACGCCACCGTAGCAACTGCTGACCACCTGAACAGAACACCAGGAAGAAGGGCACGCCGCCTTTCGATCAAGCTCCTGGGCATTTCTATGCCACAAGAAGTGCGAAGCAAAGAGATCGGTGCATTACAGATGCAGAAATGTTATCATTGCTGTCTATTAGTGACCAGAGGGATCAAGCCAGTGCGTTGCACAGGTTTTCTCCTCGCGCTTACCTGCTGGAAGTTCTTGTTATACAATGCTGCACACAGAGGCTGGTCATGGGATGTGATTTCTGAACCACTGCCCTCCATTAATTCTGCAGCAGCATAGAGGATGCCAATCTGGATGGAAACAGGTAAAAGCCACATGCTGCAAATACACACTCTGCGAGTTGCGGCTTTCTGAAACGACCAGCCTTTCTGCAGGCATCAGGCAGGGGGTTGGACTAGATGACCTCTGGAGGTCCCTTGTAGCCCTAATTCTCACTTCTTTTCTCTATGATGCATCTAAATGTCCTGCCTTTGAGAGCTGGCACAGCTAGAACTGAGGCCGCAGCAACAGCTGCCCGGTATTGGCTAATGCTTATGCAGGGTCCTCCAAAAAACAACCCACAAGCGGTGGAAGTTGTCAGCGTGTACCTTCAGACAGCTGCCCCCAGTCATTCATAACTTGGCCGAGTGCTCAAATGACTTGATCTGGGCTTCTGAACACAGCTGTTTAAATACTTTTAACCCATGCAGATTGAGTCTGGGATCAGAAACTCCTCCTGAACCAAAATCCAATAGGCATTAACACCACTGCCATTATCTCCAGTTTAGTTAAAGCACAGTGAAGGCAGGACCTTAAAAACATCCAAATGCATGCACCCCATCTACCCTTGCTTCAGTAGGTACGAAGCCCCTCATAGGAAGCATGCAGAACTGCAATCCCAGGGGACTAGTGTAGATGACCCAAGGGTGCTGTTCAGTCTTATGTCTGCAAAGGACTCACCAATTACTAGTGGGTGATGTGTTAACAGGAGAAAATCATCCTCCCCAAAACATTCTCCCCTTTCATGAGAGGAAAAGCAACACTGTACATTATACAAACAACTCACGGAGGTGGTGGTGCAGATGAGGACGTTGTTTAACTCATTGTAATAGACACCAATGATAGAACAGTTCCCTAATGAGATACTACTGCTAGGAATGGACTGCAGACAGAAGTGATCCAGCAGGTCCCAAATACGGATATTCTGGAGAACGCAAGGCAGAAGCCAGAAGTCAGAGGGATGGAGACATTTGTAAAGCATGCGATGGCTTGTGCTGATTATCTGCTCAAACCAAAGGTAATAAATCCTTTCCAGGTGCTCCAGCCAATCTCCCAAACACATCTGTAGTCACCACATATTTCTAACTGAGTTTTGTTCGCTGCAGTACTCAAAGGATGGAGGTAAAGGACCTATCAGATAGAGACAGCTCTCCCCTGGGTAACTGGTTTGGCTGCAGATTCCAGGGAAGTCAGAATTAAAGAATGAAGCTGCACTAGCTTTAAATGAAAGTAGCAGCTCCATGAACCTCATCCAAATCCAGCTCGTCACTCAGACACGGCAGTCCCTACATGCCCTGGACTCGCATAGCCATCATTTATTATGTAGAGCTGGTACTTCGACAGCGAAGTTCTCCCAGTCCCCAAGCAAAGCGAGACAGGGCTGTAGATGCAACAAGCCATTCATACCTTATCTTTCGAGATGCTGAGGATAGTGTTTCTGTACCCACTCACTATCACGTGAGTCACTGCAGTAACGTGGCCTTTCATCACGGTTATGGGGCTGTTGGTCACGTAGGGGTTCCAGATTCGGATCAGCGGATCCAGTCCCCCAGTCACTAGACCGAAGAAAGCACACGTTAGTCGCACAGAAAGGTAATGGGGCATCTCCCTTCTCCACCGTCCCAGGAAGGAAAAGCTGGAACTATACATCAAAACGTGCACGGGGCCCTGAGCTGACCCTGCTCCCTGCTCCAGTTCAAAGTAGCTGCCACTTGCAACCATGTTGGTAATAGCAGGTCCGGTGCAAAAGCACAAAATCAGGATCAGGGTAGGTGGGTTGCAAACTTTGTATGTTCGGCTCCAATCTTTATGGGTCAGTTATTTGAGGCTCATTTCAGTGCAATTCTGCAACAGGACAAGGCATGTCTGCCAGTGCAATATTCTGCATCTCTGACCTGAAACAATTATTCTAAAACTGCCTCAGAGATGCAAACAGAGTCTGAGAAATAAACGTCATGCACCTTTGCTTCATCTACGCTGCAAATACAAGTACGGAGGTTAGACTGCCAGCTGCCTAATATTTCCCTGGGGATGATGATATAGGGAAATGGCACGAACATGCTGCTTTGTTGGTATCTTCAGTGACAATTGAGATAGCAATGACAAACAGCAGAAGGAAGCAGCAAATCCTTGTTGCCTATGCTCCACTGAAGCCCTATTTTGAGGATGACCATAGGACTTAAATGGCATATAAGTCTTGTGCCAGTCTTAATGGCACAAGACCTATATGTCTCCTTAATGCACCAGTCTCTACAATGGCGTTGCGTTGACTCACAATGGAAATGGTTCAGCTCTCCAACTACGAGGGCACAGCTATTAAAGTAACTAGTTTCTGTTGTTTTCTTCAATGGTTGCTTAAAACATGGCTCCCTATAGTCAAACATGTTTCTGGACCTTGTCCTTTTTAAAAGGGGTCTAACACAGCAATTAGAGGTGAGCATGACATCAGCTGCGGGGTGAAAGAGGAGCCACGATGAACTTACCGAGGACATTCATCCTGGGGGAATAGTCGAAGCAGAGAATGCCTTTCTTTAAAGCGATGGCGGATGATCTACAAAGCAGAGAGAACAGAAAAGAGGCACTCTCGTGGAAGAGCTTTAGATGGTCCTTTTAAAAACGTGTTGCAAATGTGGCGGTAAGTCTATGGAGGGCATGTCTTTTATGCTTATAGGACACTGCCTACTAATTGAGCAGGGGAGACAGAGGCAGAGCAGTGCTGACAAACAGAGAACAGGTTGGAAAAAGAAGGAAAGTGAGAAAAAGAGCAGAGAGACTGATAAAATTAGCCAGACTCAATAGCTAATCCCAACCCTGGGCTCAGACTGAAACCTCCGATATCAGCACACCCAGACTTCAAAAAAGTTCCCGTGCAAAGAGGGCAGCTCAAAGCCATCTTGCGGGAAAAACAGTGAAGGATGAGAAGGGGACCAGAGTCTTCTTGGATCTCCATGTTATTGTCCTCCCCACCCCAAGCCCATTCACGAATAGGGCCAGAAAGGGAGTCCGACTGTCAGGACTCTCGCACTGTAATGGCCAAGGCAGCGTTGAGCCTCCCCTTCCGGAGGCTGGTGCACAGGTTTTGTTTCGTGCCCCTGGTCTTCACTAGGCAATCGGACTAACCTGTAACCAGAACGCAGCACTGCACCACCCGCGTCCCATCCCTTGAGTCGAGCAAACACGAGGGAAAGACGATGCTGCTGCAGGAGAAGAGAGGGGACGCACGGGACAGAGGGGATGGGGTCACAACCCTATTGGGACGAAGAGATGGAAAGCAAGAAAAGGACTGAAGAGACAGCATCGCTGCGCACGTGCCCTGAAGGGAGCTGCCTGCTGATACCGAGGAAAGGCAACTTCCTCTTCGCACACTCGCTGAGCTGCAACAACAGCCAGGACAAGGGCTGGCTACAGATGGTTTATAGCCCGAGAACAGACGGCCGTAACAGAGGAACGGCCTGTCAGGCCAAGCAACAACACCTGCAGGGAGGCACCAGACCTCACAGAGCCATCGCTGTCCAAAGGGGCAATTCCTGAATGGGAAATGAAGCCAGGATCCGGACAACAACCTGTTATTTTACGAGTCCTTTGTGCACCCTCAGGTGCTGCCTGGGCCCAGGGCTTAGCACGTCAGCCCCTGCCAGCACTCAGTTCAGTGACCCCCACCAGTGCATCGAAAGGTCCACGTGTCGTCGTCTGGAAAGGGAGCTGGACTGTCACGTATAAACATTAGACCACCTCCAGCAAGTGGCTTATTAAATAAGTAAAAGGTAGGGCAGATTTGCACCTCATAAGGTGCAAATTTACCCTGCTTTCTACTGGACTAACACAGCTACTGCCTTTTTATGGAACAAGTAACCTGGCTGGAAGACCAAACTGGGCAGTCAGAGAGCACGCGATAGTTTAAAGTCACCCACAGGCTGAAGTTGATTCATACTAAACTTTCATCCAAATGGAAAAACAGAACAAACCGCAGATCTGACCCAGGCAGCACCTGACAAGTAACTTTGAGCCAGCTCTGCTCGTGCATCTCCCGCTGGTGAGCGAACAGGTAAAATAAAGCCCGACAGTACCATCTGCTGGACATGCACTAGCACAGCTTTACTCGGAGCCAGCAACATCCTCTAATTCGGCCGTTGAAACCTTAATCCAAGCTGTTTTTGACTGGAGATGGACAGACAGACCAGCAAGCAGCCCCCTGAATCCAGAAGTGACAAACACGGGTCTAAAAGGATCGTCAGAACTGCAGACAAACCCACTGCTAGGACAAGCCTGGTTCAAATTCATACAATCATAGAAAACAAATGATGAAAAGGAGCTCAGGAGTCGCATCTAGTCCGATCCCTGCTCCCAGCAGGACCAGCCCCAACTCCATCATCCCAGCCAGGGCTTTGTTGAGTCAGGCCTTAAACACCTCCAAGGATGGAGATTTCACCACCTCTCTGGGCAACCCGTTCCAGTGCTTTACTCCCCTCCTGGTGAGAGTCAATCCACCCTCCTAAGAGTCAATCCACACTTCGGAGACCACTCTCTTTAAATTCACAGGAGTCGCCGAAATCCTTTCCTTTAAACACATCTGTGCTGGGGCTGCTACTAAAGGAGCAGATGTCTGAAGTAAAAACACCAGGACCAAACAGACTGTTAAATTATACAAATTATCAACAGAGAATTCAACATTATTCTTCCCATTGGCTCCGACGATAGATAAATTTAAATGCCCAGGTGCCGGCAGCCCGCGACTGGGGCTTCAGAGTCCTGGAAGTGGTTATTTAGCATTCGCATCCTTTGTTGTTCTGGAATTGTTTGGACAGGCAAAGCTGCAGATGCAGAGACCTGCAATTTGCAGACAGCAGCATTATTCAGCTTGCTCGAGAGCAAAGTGTCACATATATTGGGAAAACAGAGAGGAAACGGTGATTACCAGGGACCGGGGGAAATTGTAGAAAGGATAAAATTGTGGATCCAAACTGTTGTCAGATGTCTCTGAGATTTATAGCAAGCCAGTTACTGAAATATGTATTTGGTCTGTTGCCAGGAAGCTGAACAGCAGCCACCGGGCGCTCTGCTGCATCCACCCATTAGCTTTCAGGAGGCAGTGGCCTGCTGCCAGGGCTCACCCTCGGAAGAGTGAAGAAGGGGGAGGGGGCCATTCAGAAACACAAAGGGGTGGGGAGCAAGATTTCCAGAGGCGGAAAGCAGTAAAGAAGAGAGAAGCGAAGGAAGAGAAAACCAAGAGCAGAAGGAGGGAGAGCACGAGGGACCGGGAGAGCAGAAGGTGAGCAAGGGCTGCAGAGGAAGGAGTGAAAGGCGTGAGGAGCAGGAGGGAAATTGCACGTAGGGATGCAGCACGGGGATGCTCGCACCATGGGCTCGAGACAGCCTTGGAAAACAAGCCTTCTCCTTGCTCAGGCTTTCAGAAACATGCCCCTGCTCCGTCCCAGCTGGCGGACGGACTGGAGTGAAGCTGCATCTCTGCCTCCGCGCCGTTTCCCAACTACCTTTGAGCCTCCCCAGGCATCTCCCTCCTTGCCCCGAGTCCCGCTTGCCCAGGGCAGCTCAGCTCTGGCCAGGCTGCCCCTCAGCACCATGGCTTCAAAGCAGCGGTGCAAAGCTGAGCTCCAGCAGAAACAGGACTGCCCTCTCTCTGTCCCTGGCAAACTGCACCTAAAGAAACCGAATTAGCCCAAAGTCAAGAAGGCAAGGCAGAGTCGCACCTTATATACGAACCAAGGTAAGTAGGTAGATATAGAAAGACAGGTAGAGCACAAGGTTTCATGGGCTGCATCTCACTTCAGATTATATACATCTAGCTTCTTTGGTTAGTCTATAAGGAGCAAAATTGCTCCCACACTACCCAGAAGTCCCTCTCTTCCCTGTCCCTACCCTCTTGGAGATGGCCAGGGAACTGAAAGCAAGAAGCCAGATGGGGCTTCATCTTCCTTATTGTGCACATCAGCAAATGTTGTTCCCCTCCCCTGTACAGGGAGCTTTTAGGGAAGCATGCATGATTTACTAGACACCACAGAGAGGTCCAACTCCGCCAGAAAACTGGACCTGGAAGCCCAAAGGAAAACCTGAACTCAAACAGGGACTGCACAGAAGATCGGTGACGGACCAAACCAACTCAAGCAGCCCCCCCCCACCCAACCACCACCCACTTCGGGAAGGTTGGGGTACTTTTAGCTCAGACCCATCTCTAAGATACAGAAGACAAACACACACGTCTGCCATTTTCCAGAAAGAGATGTCCTGGGTCTACCCGAACTGTCCAGTAAAGACTGTTCTGACAGCCTGGGGAAAAAAAGCTTCATTTATTTGCAGGCTACCAAACAGTGTAAGAATGATAGGCCCCCTACACACTCTCCCTGTAATTTATGTTTCCCAAACCCTGAAAGTTTGGTCCCCATAGGTTTTTCCCAGAGCTGAAGGGAATGTTAAGAGGCTGATAACACAATCGGCTACCATTGTGACGGATAATTTACAAACCGGAGACAAAGAGACCTGTCTTACTGGGGTTTACCCTGGTTATTTAGTGGAAGTGCAGTAAGCACCATGGCTCCCTTATCAGTTGCTGAACAGGAGGCGACGAGATTGAGCTCAGGAATGAACTTTATCTGGTGGCACCAGTCCTCGTGGAGAGCCTGGAAGAGAGGAGAGACTGTGCTTAATGACCCCGTGGGCTATAAACCAGGGCACAGGCAGAAGCACGTGCCGCTCCGCTGCAAATCTCAGGGGGTCGGCAGGGAACCCATGTGCCGATATAACAGTTTCTAGGAGCGAGGGCAGCGCCGGTGAAAAGCATCGGGCGAGATGCGAAGCTGAGAAGAATGACAAATCAGGGAAAAAGGGTAACGCTGCAGAAACAGATATGTTAGGGTGGCAAACGCAGCAGAAACCCAGAGAGGAAGGGAGGAGCCGCAGCACGTGCTCAGATAAATGAGGTTTTGAATAAACCAGGGTCTGCTTAGTGCCAGATGATGTATGCAGCCAGGGTCACATACAAATGACATCCTAACCCACATCTGAGGAACGGGACTGCTCGGCTCAAAGGGACTCTGATAGCCAGGGAGATATGTAGGGTTTTTTTGGTTTTTTTTTAAATCAACTTTCCTTAATGGCTTCTCATTATGGGGAGTGGGATCTCAGCGAGGAGAGGAGAGTTTATCCCAAACAGAAAAATACTCCACCCTCAAGATTAAATGCTCTCAGCCTAGAAGGTCCACATAGGAGCTTTCCTAAGGGGGGGCAGGAAATGGGAAACTTGACTGCACAAATTTGTGGCAAACTGCATTTATGTTTCCCCCATCGCTAGCTCTTCTGCTTTTTGGCTAGGAGCAAGTGAGACTAGGGGGCATCTGAACCCCAAGGCCTCCAGGCTTGCATGTAGGATGCCTGCCATGGATTTGGGGAGTATCCAAAGCCCAAGACGGATGGGTCTGGCAGGAAGGATACTTGCCCAGTGGTAGAGACACACACACACACGCTGGAACGATTGAAATTTGGAAGTTAAACTATTGGGCTTTGCCCGACATAATTCAGAACTGATTTGGCCCCTGAAATTAAATTTTAAAAAATTCAGTGCTCCAGCGAGCCGTCAGAGCAGAGCGCTGGGCGCCGGACTTCTCTTTACAGTGTACTGCAAACACATCTCCAAAGCCAAGAGTGAAAATGATGGTGGGTTCAGTGCGACCAGCAAAACGAAAACTCACAGGCATTCGGAAACTGCTGTACAGGGAGCCCTTTTCTTTCAGGAGCAGCTGCATGGGAATCCTGGCCGCAACACCTGGGGAAAAAGACCACAGTAAAAGCAACAGGGTCATCCCATCCCAGTACTTGCAACCGTTCTCCAAGGAAAGCTTTCACATTCAGTGCTGAAATGCATTCAAAGCAATAACAAGCAGCCTAACCCCATCGGTGCCTCGGGATGGTTAGCACAGAGTGAGACAAGTGAGAAGGGGAAAATTTGAATCTATGAGACTTGTGCACTGTCATCCCTGCTTTATGGTTCAGAAACGTGGACTACATATGCTAGGCACGTCAAGAGACTGAGTGGCTTCTGCACGAGATGCCGGCAGAAGATCCTGAAAACGAAGTGGGAAGACAGAATACCAAACACAGCGGTACTGGAGCATGCGGGACTGACACACTTAGCAGCCACTGTCAAGAAGAAAAGGTTGCAATGGATCGGCCATGTCAGAAGAACAGGAGGAGACTGTATCCCCAAGAATATTTTATATAGCGAGATTGGATTATATAGCGGGGTCGCCCTCTACGGTGGTACCGCAAAAGAGGTACGAAGTCGTTCAACATCAACACAGAAAACTGGGAACAGCGCACAGAGTCCTGCCTCATCTGGAAGCAACATCTGGCACCGGATGCAGCTCAACATGAAGCGGCTTTGATCCAGGGGTGGATGCAAAGCGAGAAAGAAGAAAGCACTTGGACTCCGACTCAGACAGCATACAGATCTGGGGAACTTGTAACCAGCTGTGTCGCTCTCAAATTGGTCTCGTCACCCACAAACGGATTCATCAGGCATTTGACTAGATCTCTTACGTGTACACCGCGATCCAAAGGATCGACAGCTGTCGAGATGCCTTCCCAAACAGCAGAGCCTGCTGGAAGGACTGTTTAGTTTTCATAGATCCACCGAAACTGTCTGAGGAGAGTGCAGCCCTCACAGGGTGAAGGTATTGGCCGCAATTATTCTACACCAGTGGTTTTTAACCTCTCTTTCATTTGCAGACCCCTTTGAACATGTCAAGTGGAGGTGCGGAGCCCTATGAACTGTAAGTGTGGGTATTCGCATGCTATTGATTGATCATAGTCATCTTCTGCCGACCCCTTAAATCTACTCTGAGGACCCCTGGGGGGTGGGGGAAGTGGGAAAAGCTCATCATCTCAGATCAACACCTCTGCTTCTGAAGTCACTCCTGCTCATCCTTCAGGAGGACTATTTAGGTAAACTCTCTCTTTTACCCTCTGCAGAAGAGCATGTCACACTCCGGGCACTGCTGTCAAGTCTCTGTACCTGGTTTAATTATATAGGGACGAACGTTGAAGAGTCCATTTGCCAAAACATTCAGGGAGGTGAAGATCAGAACATTTCCTTTCACATCACCAGCACAAAACACTCCTTTGTGCCCATCTGTCCTGATTCAGGCAGAAACACAAGAGAACATATCAGACCCCAAAACAGAGCAGTGCAGAGGTCTGCAAGAAAAAGACCTATTTTAGACAGATAATTTACCTTCTGGAGAAGTAGGTAACCTACCAGTAATCCAGGGCTGTCGCACATCCTTCCAGCTCAGCGAGGTAGAAAACCCTGTCACATTTGATGCCACTAATATCAAAGAACTCTGTGCATATTTAAAAAAAAGAAAAGAGAGAGAGAGAGAGAGAGAAAAATCCTGTGAAATTACCATCATCTTGATGGGGGTTCGTTATCAGACTGAGATGGATATCCGGCACCTGTCACAATCACGGGTGTTTGTCTGCTCATTCATATATACAGGCGTGTGCTATAGACAACATGAATGCAATGCACATGCAGCAAGGCTCTGTGCCCATGGAAGTTAATGGCAAATCCCCATTAACATCAGTTGTGCTGGATACGGCCCCGAGCCTCAGAATGGGGAATAATTTACTGTTTACCGATAGTCCGTTCAGTAGATGCGATTGCCAACAGGCTGATATTTGGCAGACACACCATGTCGATGACCCACATCTTGTGAGTGTGCTTCCGCTTGGTCTGGTCAAGCTGCAGAGAGGAGAAAAACATACGTCGGTAAGTCCTGGAAGCCAGGACAACTTGGTGTTTGAATACTTTTTGCAAAGCACAGCTTCTTAACAACTCATAAGGCAAAACACCTAGCAGCCTGAGCTTAGGTCGAACTTGCAAGGGGCACCTGAATTTCACCCCAAGCAAACAGCACCTCTGGCATTTTCCGCTCCTAACAGCATTGGAGACCAGTACCTTAAAAAAGATTTTTTTTTTACTGTCGGAGATGCAATAGGGATGAAAGCAGGAAAATAGGATTCCAGGGGCTAATTGGCCATATCCTGTAGTGCTCAGTCCTGATTCATTCTCTTGCATTCGCAGTCAGTAAAAGAAGACGACTTAGCAGACAGTAATCTGAGCTGAGACCAGATGCTTCTGTTTAAAAAGGCTCCCTGGGGAAATTAGTACAAAATATTCCTTGTGTGAAAATGTTTTTCCTCTTATGCTCCCTCAATATTAGTTTTTGGAAGTGGCAGCAGTAAAGAAGAGGGCCTGACACCACCCGAGTGCTGAGCTAGGGGACTCCAGTCCAGCACAGACCTGCCTCTCTGCTGGCAACTCCCCGATCCCGATCCAGCGCGAGTGCTCTGCGGTGCCTGCACCTGGGGATTCACTGCTCAGGGCACTCAGCAGAGGAGACAGCTGGGAGCAAATACAGCTCTGGTACATCAAGAGCTACGGCAATTCTGCAGGGCCACAGTCCTGCTCCCTTGTGTGTTTCTACATGGTTAAATGAGAGGAGAGGATCCTGCACACGGAAAGGGCGAGAGGCACCGTGCTGGACGGACCACACAGGAGAATCCGGGCTGCCTTCCAAACAGGGATGCGAGCACGTACGTGGATGGTGCGGAGCAGCTTGAAGGCGTCGCTCCAGTAGAGCAGGACCCCATCCCTGGTGACCATCAGGAACCGCCCCGACGGGCTCCGGCTGCTGCTGCTCTTGGCTGCCTTCTGCTTGTCCCTGGCCCAGCCCTGGCTTGGATAAAACTGCACCTTGATGATTTCCTGGCCTACCATCCTGAGCAAGGGAAAGAAATGAGATCAGGGGAAGGGAACAGACTGCCAGGAAAGCAAAGGGGGTGATGAATGTCTGTAAGAGGCTCTGAGGGGGGAAGGCAGGTTGGGAGCAGAGGGCGAGTCACTTAAGACTCATAAGGGAGCCCAGCACTTTGCAGAGGAACTAAAGACCCAGGTGCTCTTGAGCCAAGCAGAGACTACAGAAGGCAAGATGAGGCACACGGTAAGGTCCCAAGGTTACTGGCGCTTGAATGTGGACTTCTCGTCCTTGGAGAGTGAAGGGCTAAGAGAGATCTTACGCGGGGATGACTTTCATAGGTGTCTGAAATAACAGATGCGATTTGCCCTCCAGCATGTCAACCTTCCCCCTGTATTGTAGTAGCATGTAGTTCAGATACTCCTCCTGTAAGAGAGACAGCAACATCATTAGCATGGTATCAAAGGGAGAGAGTAATTAATTATCTCGGGGTCTGCGGTGCTGATGGATACAGAAAGAATTATGGGGAAATAACGATGAACATAAACACTGATCTCCACCAGGATCGGGCCAAATTAAATGGAAGTAATCAGGAAATTATTTTTCCTATTGCTACCTGCCAAGCATTATCTCTGATTATACAGGATAGGAGCATTACCCAGACCACGGAGCCATCGCAATTGCTGTCAACCTTCATAAACATGACATCGATATCTTCATTTTCAATATTGCCCATTATCTCCTTCACTGCTTCGCGGAACTCCTCAATATCCAGCCCTGAGAGAATAAGCACAGTATATCAGCCCTAGGTCTTCCACACAAGTGTTTATTGAGGAAACAGACCATGAACAGACTGCATCTTAATGGCACTAATATTCAAGGCAATGCAAACACACCACTGGAGGCAGATTCTTACAGTTTATGTATGCACTGAAGGCATGCAGTTGGATGTCTAATCTGCTCACACTACTTACTGCAACTATGCAAGGAAGGCAGACACCAGCGTGTGCAAATACACACAGATTAGTTACTGGCGTGTAATTTCCCAAATTGCATGCATGTCAGCAGGGATTGTTAACAGTAGCATGCATACAGGCACATGATAGGTGTATGGCTTCCTTGAAAATCTAGTTTTGGGTATTCAAGTACACTTTTCAGTAGGGATTGCTAAGGTTTTCCTAGTGTGCCTCAACCTGAATCAGTATTTGTGAGGGTGATGGTGCACAAAAGTGCCTTAGTCTCTGTTTGACTGCCTGCAAGCCACAGTTGTGTGTTTAAAAAGGGAAGTGAAATTAGCAGACAGACTTGAATGGAGAACAAGCTGTAACATGGAAGGAAAAAGATGCACATTTTTAGTTTTCATCAAATTTTCCAGCTTGCTGCATTTTCATGTCTCCCCTTGAACCCTGCACACCACCTCGGCCAAACAACGAACTTCCCTAGATTGTGCGAATCTCAGGTGTGCTACCCTTAGCATTTCTACGTCGGCTCATATTCCAAAGCATCTCAACAGCTCTTTGGTGATACCTGGAGGACCACATCCAGAGATCACACCAGTCTGTGTGAACGGGCATTTCTGAAAATCAGCCCATTGCGAGGACAAGCAAACACACTGAGCTATGGCAGGAAAAGACTAACCACAAGGGAAGGCTAATGTCTGAATACATGTCCAGAGAGATAAAAGGTATGCCTAAACTCTGCTCCTGATCTGCCAGGATTAGTCAGATTCCTTCTATGCCGTATTCCCCCATTTGTAAAAATAGACTGGTAATACTGGACTGTTACACTGGGGATTTGCGAGGGCTAGCCAGCGTTTAAAAAGAATTCAGACATCTTCAGCCAGAAGAAGTCAGAGAATATCATTATACTACGTTGTGTCGTCCCATTTAAATCATCTATTCCAACCTAACCTGGAGCCAGGGGGACTGTTTCCTCCTAGCTGCCTAAATAACGAGCCTGGCTTCCCATGATATACAAGTAGGGCACAGAAGCCAACATCTAATAACAGAGAAAGAAGAAATTTGTTTCTGCCTCACCCTACAGAAAGCCAAAAAGTTAGGGGGTCTCCATGCACGGACAAGACTTTCTACATGGTGGAAAAAGCAGGATGCAAACTAATGGATGGGGCTGGAAGGGACTAGGATGCTGAATGCTATTGAGTAGACTCTAGGTGTCTCAAGACAAATACTGTAGTTATCAAACAGTAAATACGCAGAGGTAACAGCCTTCTAAAAACGGAAGAGCTTGGGGCACGGGCTCGTCGTCACCTCTGGTTTTGTCTCTGTTCGGCTTCTGAAACATTCGCGCCAGTTTTTGCAAGTGCTCAGAACTGATCAGATCCTCCACCTGCTGTACGCCGGCCGCGTCCACGACTTCTGCAAACTCCCCCATGCGTCTGTGAAGGGAGCTTGCCCCGCTGGCTTTGCTCGCGAGGATGCTGACCTGGAAAACAGTTGGGAACAAGGACAGCCTGGACGGTGCTTGCATCACACTCAAAACAGTCCCTTCAACGTGCGTCTTGCAGCGAGGGGGGGAGAGGCAGTCGGGCAGATCAGTTATTATAAGACGACTAACAAGGCTGGTATTTAATTATAAGGCACTATAAACAGAGATAAGAGGAACAGTTTCTGTCCCAAGGACCTTGCAATGGAAGGGACCAGCCCAGTAAGCTCTTCCACACACGGGCAATCTTTACTAACGATTGTAGCCCCATGGACTTTGGTGGGACTGATCCGTGATCTATTGATGACCGTGCAGATGTGCACCACCTGCTCTATTTTCATATTATTTTAGAGCCGATTTAAACTCATGCAACTAGCACAGATTAGATTCATTCCTGGCGTGCAGCCACCATGCGTTATCCTCATTTAGAGGTCCACACGGGCAGGGGTACAGCTGATGTAGCCAGCTCCTTGCCAAGCTCTGCAGAAGTCCAAGAGCAAGAAACATGCCAAGGGCATCCTCCAAAGCCGAGGCATGGCTGAAGCATGGCAGCACTCTGTCTGGTCCTAGCGACTTGGCCACAGGCAGCTGGATGCAACCGGCACAGCCCTCAGGGGCCCTATGCTGCATGCTGGGGCCTGAACTTCCCCCGGGTTGGGCACAATTTCGGCGAAATGAACACAAACACCCAGATTGCCCACACCTGAGCAGCCCTGGCATGGAGCTGAGCCCCAGCGAGGGAGGCACTTGGACCCAATACGTGCCTCAAACCAGGAAGCACTGTAATAAGCTGCAATTGTTACAGCATGGCTGGTTTCCCTTAAGAGCTCATAACAGTTTACACTCTTTTAAATTTAAAATGTGACTAGCAGTCTTGCAATCATTTAAAGCTGAAAAATCCCGAGCAGGTCTGGATGCAATGACTAGAGAGGACGTGTGACAGACTGTATGAGGGACACCACTCAACCGTCCAAACGTCAGCGCGTTAAGCTCGGAGGAAAAGGACAAGGGATATGATACTGCAAATGAAGCAGAATCACTGCCACACCGCTGGCCTGCAGATTTTCTTTCCACATCACACCGTGCCCATCCACACTGCGCTTGTTCTTTCTTACCTTTTGCCTCGCTAGACCTGGCTTTAGGGTTTTTTCACCTTCAGATTCGTCTCCCCTGAAATGTCAAACAATGCAAAAATATCTATCCATCCGTAGGTCTATAGTGCTGTGACCGCTGTGTATGCAGACACCCACGCATAGGACAGACCCGCATGATGAAGAGACGCCAGAGGTAGGAAACAGACTGATAGACTTGCTTTCAACTCTGGGGATGGTTATTCACTATTCCTATTAGTGCAAACTGAGGTGATGGGTTTGTAGTACTTGAAGGAAGTAGCCTTCTCTATGGTGCTTGAGGTATTTGTGATGCCAGCCCTTCTTATTGCACAGCTGCAACACCTTGGTAGCAAAGAAAGGCTTCTGTCTTGATCAGCACTAAACACCTCGGGCCTTTTGAAGCTGATCATTAAAGAACAAATATTCAGGTACACCTAACTACTGAAATCAGTAAGAGCAATGGGAAGTGGATACACAAACCCTTCTGCCCCAGAGAGGCAATAAAAACGTCTCTATTCTCATTTCATATATGAGGAAAATAAGAATTTCTAAGCACATTACACTGATTAACTCCCCGAGTACCCAGCAAGCAACTGGATGATTAAAAAGAAGGGTTAGGAAAGGGTGGTTTAGGAGGGAGCCCGAGCGAGGAGAGAGATGCTAGCTATTACAAAACAAGTTGCTCCCAGGGCGCCCCAGCCCTCAGTACTCACCAGGCCAGAGAGGGAAAGGTGCCAATATTGTGAGACCTTGAAGACAAGGGTCTGCTCAAGATCCTGGGGACAGCCATGATGCTCCTGGCTCCTGCTGTGCATCTACTGAGGACTTTCAGTGCAAGGCCATAAGCCAGCTCAACTATGATGTCACTGTGAGAGCTGTGACATCATCCAGAGAGCTTCCAGGTGGAGTCCTGTCCCCTCTGCTGGAAGGAGTTCTCTGCATCACGGATCCACAGAGCAACCCACCCCTTTGTTTCCCCTCGAAGGACTGGAAGTAGGCAGTGCCTCTTCAGTGCATCCACCCCACCCCAAAAATAAGCCAGCAAGAGGCTCTGCACCAGATCCCCGAGAGAAAAATCTGCTCCCGCTACCTGAAAGGGGAACATCAGGAAAACTGTTCCCAAGGATTTCTGACCCTAGAGTCTCTCCCACTCAACTCTTTTCAAAGCACGCCAGGAGAGCACGTTCTCTGCAACGGATCAGCACTCGGCTCCCTCTGGACTTTGTCTTTAACCACTTACTCCGCTCTCGTTCTTGCTAAGAAGGGCTTATTGAGAGGCCAACTTGCTGCTCATGATATAAAAGTATCAAACGGAACTAAAATCGTATTATTCAAGATATATTCTTGAAAAAGTAACCACACAATATTTGAAGCCTGCAGAACAACTATTCTTCTACCTTCCATAAGTGTAACAGTAGCTACAGAGAGATTTTGGAAGACTTGGATGCAACCACTTCATGAAATGCCTTTGCAAGAGGACAGCAGTTTTCTGGCTTGCTGAAGATCTCTGCAGACTTGTGGGGGGGCGGGGAACGACACAACCAAAATATCAGTTCCTGTTTTCTACATTTCCTATCAAGTCAACCACAAACTCTTAAAAGGGTTGCTGCGTGAAAGTTAGCCAGGTTTGGCAAGTGGCTAGCAGAGAAAAATAACTGGCTTTGTACCATGATTTTGCTTCTTTACAATGTAGTCACCCTACACCTTTATCTAGCTTTAACAGAAGACACTAGAAAGGCACACAGGGATGTGCCATCCACAATCCATCTGCAGACCAGTTTGGGAACTACTGCACTGTACCATGCAACTTGCAAGAAAAACAAACCACACACAAGAAAGGGAAATCAAATCATTGCTGAATGTCTACCTGGCAATTCCAAAGTTAAAGTATCATTAGGTAGCGTGTGCTGTTGCACAAGTTATATATCATAAAGTTCCCGTTTTGGTCTATGACTTCAGACTTGATGCTAGCTGTCTGCTACAAAGGACAAGAGCAGCTTGCAATGTGACGCAGCTGTTCTGGAAAGTCAGGCATTTTCTAAAAGTGAGGGGTTAGATGGGAAAGCATTCCTATCCAAATACAGAATTGGGTTTTTATAAACGACTCGGTAAACTACTGTCATCTTCTGTCCCTTATCGCAAGATTATAATCTGCATAGTAGCTGTCTGTTTAGGTAACCCATTCTAGAACAGGCGTATTGCAGCCTCACACAGGCTGTATCAGAAGACATCAGTACACCCACATTATGCTTTCACTGCTCTCTAAAGAGTATAAAAGCCTCTTTACCCTTGACGTGGCTTATCTCCTACCCGCTTGGCCAAGGTCTATGCTCAGCTGTACAAGTGGGGATCTGTTCTGTACTAATTCTCATTAAACTTTCAAAAACTATTCAATGCATCATTCAGTTCTCCTGTAACCTAGATTCTTAAGATTTATATAGCCCTGTCGTCAGAGCACTGTACAAACACTACCCAGATAATCCCAAGATTAGGAGGCAGAGTCCTATTTTAGCACAACAGCATCAGTGACCTGCTAAACAGAGCTATCACACTCGGCTCATGAGGCTACGTCTTGAAGAGGATATCCAGTAGCATTTAATTCAGCTAATTCTATTTATTGTTGCTGCGCGCTTATCTAAAACAGAGATAGTAGCATATTTTTGTCAGTGCAAATAACAAACAGACAAACAAACAATTGAATAAATAACGATCACATTAAATATTAACAGGGTATGAAAGAGTGATGTAAATTCTTAGCCTTTATTTGTAGGCTTTTAACAGTTACAGTAAGAATTGTCATTGCAAGCCAGGAATTCTGAAAAGATTGAACAATAAAGTTAAAAAATATCTGCAAGCCCACCTGTAAGTAAGACACGTGTTGGGTACAGAAAAGACAAACAGGAGCGTTTGGTTGCTCCATTGTTTGCTTTTCAGGTATTTGATCAAACTAAAGAGCTACGAAAGGTTGGATGTCTTCTGAAAGAATCCCAGCAGGAGAGCATTCAATATCTAAACAGCCAGTACTGTACCAGGTCAGAATAGCTACATGAATTTCATGGGTTTGAGCTGAATTTATTCTGGCAATTTGCTTCCCAACAAGGAAATTAGGAAAACAAAACAGAACAAAAAAAGGAAAGCCACCATGTCGAGACATCTGTGATATACAAATGTGTTGTGAATAAATTATCTGTATTAAGAGTTTGCTAATTTTACTAACATCTTTCTTGGTATTAGGGAACTAACAATTTTAGCAGCATTTGACTTGCAGCCCTGCAAGTTTCCATTTGCTTGTGTTGCCTCACTGGCCATTGCTACACATCTGACCATCTTACGCAGTCACAGGACACGAGCACGACTTCTATTTCCGCCTCATTCTCTCTTTTGGCATGTTTCTGGCAGCAGAGACCAAACTGATCTAGTGCAACTCTACCGATGGCGTGGCTACCTGGATACTTTATGATTCGCCGCCAAACATACTCTTGTGGGACACATCTGAAGCAACCGCGATCAGTGTGAAACTTAATTCTCACAGATGCTGAAAGGCCCAGTCTCACCTCCCAAGTCAGGTTCCACCAGTCACGTTGTTACCTCCATCTTTTGCTTTGAGTATGCAGGGAGAACGAGTGTTTAGCATATAGATATCAAAAAGCTGCAAGAGAGCAAGCTTTGGACACTACAGCAAATAAGCAATGGGAGAGAAGATTTTATGTGCAAAGCCCTATCCCTCCTATGCACCTCCACACTGCAGTACTCTTTTTGTTGCCACCACTGCCTATTGCTTAGGAAACTGGATCCATGGACCGTTCCAGTCACCTCCAGCATAAACACGGGCAAGTCTCGGGGACCTGTCATAACTCCTAGGAACCACATCAGCATTTCCGGCAGAAGCTGGTCATTCATTGTGCTTTTGACAAACCTAACGTTCAGGCTTGCCTATGAAGCTTACTGAAAACTTAACAAGATGGCCAAGTTACAAGAGATTCAGCCATCTTAAGACAGACACTGGTAGCATTCATATGTTCAGCATTTCAGGACTTTTAAGGCTAGCTGCCAACTTTGTCTTTTCCAGCAATACAGCGCCTTAGAGGGCTTTGCCGCAAGCCATGTACAGTAGCATGCTTACACCCAAGGAAAGAGAAAGCACACAGTCTACCATTTCTTCCACTTGTTGTAAACAAATGCTAAAGACATTTCCCCCAACAGAAGTCTCAAATTCAGTATTACTGCTGCTTACGTTAGCAAGGAACGTGGTTACAACTGGAGGAGGAAAGGGGACATTTCGAGTTGTGTAAATTTCAGACCGAAACGATCAAGATCTTTAGTTTAGCCTAATTGTATCCCAGAATATTAGACTACAGCAGACATGACACTCTTGAAATACAGAACTTTATTTAGAAACTGCTTAAAGTAGAAAAAACCCTGTCAAGAAAAATCCAGGTGAAGTATGGTTTCTTGGAGAAATGGAATTTTAGGGCAACAAAACTCTAAAAGGCCACAAGAAAAATAGCACCACTGCAATTTAACAATGGCTGGTTACTTGCATTTTTTGGCATTCACTGAATTTGGGTTTTCTTCTGAATTTCACAACAATTCATGCACTAAACCACAATTACCATAAATGCTCGCCTTCTACACACACGTTTTAGGACAAGCTACCACCAGAAACAAATACAAGCACAGGACCAATCAATCTCAGTAGCGGGGGAATTAGTCTTGCAGAAACCTGGCAAACACAACAGGAATGAGGGGCACGAGAGCAAAAGGGACAGTTCAAGAAAATGTTTTAAATATTAATATTTAAGTTAGTCACGGTACTGTATTTTCTGCAACAACATCAGCTCCAATAGCCATCACCTTTTTAGATTTCTCCCCAGAAGACACTTGTACTGGCAAGCATCACTATTTAAGTACACCAAGGGCAGAGGAAGACTGCCCAACAGGTACAAAAAGTGCACCAGCCTCAATGCACTCGCTTCTGTTATAATGAGACCTCACCGGTCAAGTTCCATTACATTCACTAGTTTCACCAGTAATCTTTAGGGGGCAAGGAAGGAAAACCGGAGTAAAACAGACTAGAAAGAACACCACAAAAACAGGAGACAAGACAAGGAGAAACAAGAACCTTGGAGGACAGCGACTCAAAGATTCTTTTTCGGCAATAAGCCTGGATGCATGTTATTTTCCACAAAATACAGTACATGAATTTGGCAAAGTTGTTAGCCACGATGCCACAGAGAAGGATTTAGCACTCCTCAAGATAACTTGCATGTGTGGTCTCAGCTGTTCATACTCCTTCTAATCTTGCCACAGGCAACATTAAGGCCTATTTCACTGAGAACTAATCACTCGGTGAGCAGCTTTACTGAGCAGGGATGGAGTTATTTTACTAGCCCCTTTTGGGAACTTGCTGACACAGAAATCTATCACAAGGGAGGCTATCACCATGCAAGGCCTCCCAGACAGCAGTGTAAGGGGTCAGACATTTTTTCACCCCAGTATGAAGCACATAAAATCTCCTGTCACATTACTTTAATTTGGCATACGGAAGCATATTTTAAATACTCTTAAGGCATTTTTATTAAAAGTTCTCTGCCACAATTTCACATTAAATCAATCTTTCTGCAAGTCAGTCTAATTTCTCTATTACACATTCCACCTCCGTCAGATACAGAAAAGTCTTTCCACAACCCAGTGTTTACCAGCAAACAACTCTGCAACAAGCTCCAAATATTCAGCCTCTCGTTCCCTAAATATACCAACTAGATGTTAATACTGCTCTGCTACAAAGTGAGAAAGAGCTCCTAACTCAAACCCATCAGAAAAGAGTGAAACTTCTGCAAAGTGCACTTTAAGAAGAGGTACTTTTTTGCTTATGAAAAGAAACCAGTGAGTCCTCTAAGAATAAAGTGGAGTATTTTACAGTTAAGCACATGATTTGGGGCAAAGAATTCTGGTGTTGCTGCTCCGCTGGTACAGTAGGTGGACCGTTAATACTCTTCTTGTTCTTCCTGTGGTGCTCCTTCGTCGGGAATCACAAAGCCTTCCTGAAGGGAGAGAGAAAGAGTGCATTAATGAAAAGCAGATGACAAACCTGGTTCCTGTGCTACAACCTTCCTTGCAATTTTACCTAGAATACTGTCAAGGAGAAACCCATTCGGCTGAAAATTACAGAGGCCAGTAAGGTTGCTGGAGGAGAGAAGTATTATTTTCTCCAAATCTCATATGTGTTCATCATAGTAATTCACTAAGCACTGAAGTAGTTTAGGGTGCAAACTGAATTTGCTGCTGCACTATCTACTAAAGGCAATATCTGTTCTTCAACACGAAAAGAACAGCTGCTCTCTGCATGTAGAGAAAAGCAAGTGCTGACTGTGGATCAAGTGGGACTGGTAAAAGACTAAGTTATAGGGTCTTTCATTCCCAGGTAACTTGGGTACATGAGGTAGATGAATTTGTTTTTCTCTCCAGCAGTGTACTAGCCAGAAATGCTTACATCTGTGGCATAAAGAATTTCCACAATCCTCTGCAACACTGGATCGTTCTCCCCTTCGTTCTCCTGGCAGATCAGTTCAATGTTTCTCAATTTGCCAAAATAGAAGTCCCGCTCCTTCTCCAGGTCTTCAACAGTGAGCTTCAATACGTTGATCTGCCCTCGGAAAAAAGAAAAATGTCACTACTCAGGCACTAGTTTCTCCAGTGGCGATAAGTCCCAAGAGTCTTTACTTAGAAAGCACAGTTTTCCCTGTTACCAAAAACAACACCATGTCACAAACACGTAAGGCATAACCAAGATCCTGATTATTCTATTGCCGAGACGACAGGTATAGTTCAGAAGTTGAATAATCTATTCCCACTACGCACAGCTGATCCCCTGCAAAGGTCCTCCCTCTTGCAATGTTTAAGGGCTTGTTACATCACATAAGATAAAGCTCAACTTCCATCAGTCTTCACTGCTAAGGTCTATTCTTTTAGGTTATGCAGCACAACATACCACACACACTCCTGCGACAAAGTGACAGCTGTTCATAGCTTGACAGGAATGCTGCTTAGACATCTGCTATGCAACTGCAGAATACTGAGTCAAATCCTACATACAATATCAGTAGGCAACCAATCTGTGCTTGTGTATTATCACGTTGCTCCTACCCTGGGGGTCTTTAAAAGGAGGCTGGATGAACACCTAGCCGGGGTCGTTTGACCCCAGTACTCTTTCCTGCCATGGCAGGGGGGCGGACTTAATGATCTGCTCAGGTCCCTTCCGACCTGACCAACTATGAAAATATAAGAGGCGTTTTAGCCCTTTTTCAGGAAAGAAAAAGGTATACACATTGAGCAGGTCCTGGAGCGCGTGCTTTTAGCAGAGCATACTAAATCACATTGCTCTGCTATATTTCCAAGCCCATCTCTTTTCCCGCCTACAATAAAGATTCATACATTTCACTTTAAGCACATATGGTTAGCCTGACGTTTACCAGCTTAAGACTCACCTGTTGAATCAATTCTGCTGATTCATCTTCTCCTATTCCTCCTGGAGCTTTTTTAACCATAGCAGTGGTAGTTTTAGGACCTGCTGTGGGCCTCTGTGTAACTATGGGTCTCTGTGGAGCTAAAAAGTTAAAAGGTTATATTAATTCTCTTAAACACATTCATTCTGGGAACAAAGCCCCTTTGGACAGTGTAGCTGTATCCTTCAAGACACCAAGAAGAGTTATTTTGAGCCATGCTAAGACAGAACAGTGAAAAGTTTGAAGATCTGCGTAATATAGCAAAAACAGCCCCAGATTCACCATGTGAAGTGTCCCTTCTCCCTGAAAAGATTAGTACCAATCATTGCCATTTTCTTTATGGAAGAAGAGTCTGTTTTTGCAGCCTTCGTCTCTGTTGCTCCCAAGAAACTGTTATCTACAAGAGGTAAAGGAAGTCCTAATGATTACATGCTATCTGACCTGAAGGCGACTGCCATGCCTAGCCTGCAGATAAAGCATCACCTCTATCTCATTCATGGAATCTCTTCCATTTCTCCATGAAATAAGAGGATGGGTACAAAATGAGATCTCTCACACATATCATAGTATGAGCTGATGTTCTGAAACTGGACTCTTTGAAATAAAGGAAAGCTGTGAACTACTACAATTTGATAAGATGAATTTAAACAGTTAAGTCAACGCTTGATATATAAGCTCTTATTGGAAATCCTTTAAAAAGACCTTTAAATATTTGCTTTACCTGCACCGCTAGAACCAAGTGCTTTCTTGGGCTTGTTCATAACTGGAGTGACAAGGTTAGATGCTACTGTCTCTTGGCCTTGCCGGGCAGCAACGGGATCATAGTCCTTTCCGTCGTAGTTCGCGTCAAAAAATTTTTTGAACCACTGAACAAATTCAAAATTGTCCTGAAATTTTCCTTTCACTAGTCTGTCCACAGGAATTATCTAAGGAGAGAAAGTACAATTTGTTACTCGTCAGCGAGAGGCTCTTTAATCTCAGTATGGGCTCTACCAAGAGACATGGCACAGTAGATGATCTAATGCAATTTAGTTGAAATCCACAGAGAGTTCGTCTTGTATACACTGAACTCGGAGTACCAGAGATTTTTCCACTCTTTGGAACAGAGCTTGCTCTACTTAGAACAGCAGCAAGTTCAAATGTAAAGGTCTGACGCTCGTAATTATCATCAGGTAAGTTCCACCACCAAACCTGCTCTTCTATTCCTGAGCTCTCAGCCTTTTTATGACTCTGTCCATCTCTTCCCCACATACTCTGGGTCTCATTTGTTGGCCAACATCAGAATCCCAAACATCCACAGCTATTTAAATATACTAGAAAGTTCACAAAGCTTTGACCATGATGTGTATCACCCTCTTCCCAATGACCTCATAAATGGAAATTACCAAGAGAACAGTTGAAACTCTAAAAGCCTTTTTGCCTCCAGGCCACTAGCCCAAGGTTGGACCAAAACCAGACACAAACAGTGGCTATTTGGTGATCTGAGATGTGGTCATCCAGTTCTTATGCAACACACTTGTCTAAGTTAGCTGCTCTTCACACTAAACAGCAGCCGTAATACAGGGACGACTAAATGGATGTAGAGAGTGGGTTATTCATTCATTCTTTAAAAAAAAAAAAAAGGTTTCCTTCAAAAATAAAGGTGAGGAACACAGAAAGGTTAAATACAGAAAATCTTGAACCAACTCTGTTATTTGTTGTCATTTACGTGGATAATCTGCACTTGATCTGAACTGGCACTTTCACAGGTCTATGCTGCAGCACTGTAGCCTGAGAGCTGCCTGAAGAGGTAGGACTTGGGACCTTGGAAACCAGGCCAACTGCCTCTAGCCACCAAAAGCACCTTGTACAAAAATAAGAAGTAGTGTAAGCACAGCGTCTCAGACGAGTCTTAGCACTAATCTATAAACAAGCATATGGATTTCAGGCAAAGGAAATCATCCTATTAGCAACAGCCAAACATCCAGCACTAATAGATGTTACCATCTTGAGGAAGGTGAAAGGACAGGTACTGTCACTAGTGACTGGCAACCTTCCCCCCAGAGTAAAACAGATAGCAAGCAGAGCTCCAAGGTTTGCACACAAGACAATACAGATGGTCTAAAATTTAAGCGCAAAGAGAACCGGGGCTGCTTACTTTGTCAACACCCATTCGTTTAAAACCTGCTTGTAGAATCTTGAAGTTTTGAATGTACTCGTGTTCCAACTTTGCTTGGAATTTCACTTTCTTGAGTGCTACAGAGCCAGGGAAGAGCATGTCCATGAACTGACAGTAGGCAGCACCTGCAAAAAACCCCCAACAAAACAAGAGTGTCCATAGCTCATCTTATTCAAAAGCATTCAGAAGCAGAAACTAGACTGAATATTATTGACAGCCAGTTAATTGAAAATGCTAAAAAAATAAGATGGTCTGAACCTTCTCTCACATGACTTAAGCATTTATAACCAAGAATAACGCTGCCTCCGTACCTGGGCAGGCATACAAACTCAACATGTAGCCAAAATCTGTGCTGTCACACTCACAGGGTCAGTAATGCTGCACGTGTGTAAAAGATAACATGTGTTGTATTAAGGTAGACAACAAGGTCCCAGTTGAAGAGAACAAGATTGAAAAAATTAGGGATTGCTTTGTTTGTTCATTCTGATTTCTGGCACAAATAGGATCCGCGTACACTTTAACGGGTCCCTGCCTGAGAGGTGTTTGAAAGATAAGTTATACAAAATATAACTAACTGGGCCCATTAAAAAAAAGCCAAAATCAAATTGACAAATAACTCAAGCTTCATCCCACTTACCTCGAAGCCCACATTCTCTTCAATTCAATACCTACTGCAACTAGAGCTTGGGAAAAATTCCAGTCAACCAAAAGATGAGGAATCTTTTTTTTTTCCTTAAAAAAGTTCTAGTCCTTTTGGTTGACTGCAGCATTACTATGCATTTTGCAGAACATCTGTAATGTCAGCTAGCTTCCATGGGGCAGTGGCGATTGCTTGCCAACATGCATTTCAGCAACTTTACTTTCTTCTAATGCACCAAAGGAGTCCCAGTCCACACTTTGCAAAGGCAACGGGAGCTGGAACAAGAGGCGGCCTAAACTACCGCATAAACCAGGTAAGCAAGCTTTTGCAAAAAAAAGCCAAAGATCCATTTAACGGCCAAGAATACAGCATTGCAGGTTTTCCCTTTTGCACTCGCACTCTTAACGCGCAATCGATTCATGTTACACAGAACTGCTAAAAACCTCTTCAGTCTCCCCTCCCCATCAAGATGCTCTTCCTGCTTGGAGCACCCCTTTCACAGCTCCTTCCATCACTAGCATGATGCTTCTCTCCTCCCTTCTTGCCTTCATAACAGTGTGAGAGAAGGAAAGTCTCCACAATACAGGCCTCCACAATCTTTACTGCTCCTATTTAGTGAAACACTCCAATGCCTGCCTCTGCTGCTCATGACTTTCCCTGGGAAATTGCTATAACTGATGGTGAAAACCGATCACACCACTGTGAAGCTTTCAACCTTGTACCTTTCACTTAGTGGTGGCACTTACAGAAGTCTGTCTACCAACACTGCACATCTTGCAGTGGGCTAGACCAGGGTTCCCAAACCCTGGGCCACGAAAGGTTGGCTACCGGTCCGCAGGAGGGCTGACTGCTGGGCTGGAAGTCCAGAAATGACTGGCATATTGCAGACCAAAAGCCTACCCGCAGTATGCCGGTCACTGCTTGTCTGCAATTTGCTGGTCTGCAGCCACTTCTGGTCCGCAGTTTGCTGGTCCACAGTCACTTCCAGTCTGCAGTTTGCAGCATAAAAAAGTTGGGAACCCCTGGGCTAGACTAAGCCTTCCTTTGGCCAATGAATCCAAATGCTATAGAAGCTACCAACACGAGTCCCCTCGATCCTTGGGGCAAGATTCTCATGGGGTCAAAAATCTATTCATTCTCAATGAAAATTACCAGCAGCCTAGATAAGCCTAAGGATCCTTGTTCCTATTTTGAGTCCACAGTTTTGGAAACAGACTAATTATCTCAGCAATTCTGTTCCTAGGATTCTCAACTCCTGGCTCCCTTCATCTGGGAGACCCAGGACCCGCTAGTGGTGCCTCCTGAACTGTCTGCCTCCATGGACTAAGCTGCAAACTGTGCTGACAGCTCCCAGATTCACTTCCATTTCTCCCTAATTTTATTCAGTCTGCAATTTCTAGGCCTCCCATCCTCTTGGATGTCCTACCACGCTCCAACTCACCCCAGTCCCCTCTCTTCTCCACCATCCTGCTGCAGTCTTAGCATCCTGATCACTACTTTTTGGCAGAAATCCACAACTTTTGCTTAACCTTCATTTTTTCTTGCCCACATCCTCTCTCAGGCCCTACTACACCACGTCTTTATCACCCCCAGGAGCCATCCTTTCCTTTCAGTATCGACAGCGACAACCCCTAGCGTGCAGCTTCACTATACACTTAGGTACTTGCCTTTTCTCCACCACTGAGTCTATCCAACTCATCCGTGCCAACGTCCTCATCTTCAGCCATGTGACCCCAAATCCCTTTGCCGGCCTTTCTAAGGTGCAATTTGACCTCGCCGGAGTCTTTTCTCCTCCTACTGACCCACTTCAATCCTTAAACTCCCCCAAGACTTCACCTTACTTTCCTCCTCCTTTCTTTCATAGTCACAGCTTCTTGCACACCAATCCTTGTGCTTGGGTCACCTAAGTGTCCTGCTTGCTGTGATTATGAAAGAAACGAGGAGGACACTGAAATGATCCAGGCATAAGGATCAGTGTGCAAGAAGTTTCTTTAATAGTCGTGTCTTCTTGCACACTGGTCCTTACGCCTGAATCACCTTGGTTTCCTCCTCGTTTATTTCACAATCACAGCATTTTGCACACTAATCTTTATGCTTGGATCACCTTGGTTTCCTCCGCGTTTCTTTCACAATCACAGCTTCTTGCACACCGATCCTTGTGCCTGGGTCACCTTAGTGTCCTCCTTGCTGTGATTATGAAAGAAACGAGGACACTAAGGTGATCCAGGCATAAGGATCAGCGTGCAAGAAGTTTAATAGTCACAGCTTCTTGCACACCGGTCCTTACGCCTGGATCACTTTAGCGTCCTTGTTTCTTTCACAATCCCAGCTCCTCGCACGCTGATCTTTGCGCCTACAAGGCCCGTGTCCTGTCCAGAAAAGCCGCTTCGGCTCCCTCCCCTCCCCTCCCCGCACCGCTCTCCTCTCCCTGACGCCGCAGCAGAGCAGAGGAAGAAACCACCCTTCGCACCGAGCTGGCACGTTTTACACGGCGACGCTCAGCAACCCGACAGACGACCATCGCCGGCACCGACGCTCGGCCCGTAGGCCCCAAGACAGCGGCCCCGCAGTGCCGGGGCCGGTCGGGCTCGTCCCCGGACGGCCTTACCCGAGCACAGCTGCTCAATCTTGGTGAGGGTGAGCTGCAGCGACTCGTTGATCCAGGCCAGCATGTCGTGCCGACTCAGGTTGTCGCTGGTCACCGAGGTGGAGTACACGTTGACCGCCATGTCTGCAAGGCAAGGCCCCGCCGGGTCAGGGGGCCGCAGCGCCACCAAAAGACCCCCAAGCCCCCCCCCAGAGGCCCCGCCCCCCGC